CAGCAGGAAGATGCTTATTTCAGGAAATAATTTCATAGCTCATGGTGCTCCAGAGAGAGCATAATTTGTTTCTAGTGGTGTGACACCAGCTACTCCTGTACCAAATCAGGATGCCCATGTGCAACACAGTTAAAATTCATAGTGCAGATATGATCTTAACATATGTTCTTTGATGGTATATATATTTTTTTTTTATCTGCAGTCCTCAAATGCAAGGGAAGAGGATATTCTGGCAAGTAAAAAGTGGGACTGTGTTTGAATTTATCACACAGCTTCTCCTCCAGCCCCATCTTGTTATACCTGTCCTCAAGAAAGATATGTGCAAATAGGAGAGATAAAAGCAAGTTCCAGTCTTTGCTTCAGGCATAAGCAACTAAATTTCATTGTCTAGAGAGTTTACAAATATGGGATGAGGGAAATGTCAAGAACCAATCTCAGACTCTGTAGGATCCTAAAATCTGAGTGCTGCCTGCCAGCTAGGATCTCATAGCAGTGATCTGACCAGCTTGTGAAGGAACTGCCTCATGGGTCCTCCAGGAAGCAGCCAAGAGGTGCTGCACAAAACTGTTCCACTGCCCTTGTCTCTCATGAGTTGCCAGCCCATGCCATGCCCACCCAGCTCCCCACAGTGGTGGGGCACATAAGGGGACTCTTCAAAGCTTGCCAGGATGGTCTCTCTGAGCAACTCTGTGCTCCTTAGGGAGCATGGTTCTATACCCTTGGGGGGCAGAGGAGACTTAAGGAACCATTTTGCTGTAACTAAACCCTCTTTGTTTCTAATTTTGAAGGGAAAAATACATTACTTTGCCATCATCTTTGAGGTGGACAAATGGAACTTGGTCTATGCTCCTGAGTGGTCGTGAGTTGTCTCTTGCTACATGCCTCTTCTTGCTGGCTGTTCTGCCTCTTCCCTCAAGATCAGGAACCAAGATAAGAAAGCGGATCGTGCTGGGAAACCTCTAGGGAGGAACCGGCCTAGCACCTGGACTAAATCCACACAGGGAAATAGAGCCAAGACTTTGAAGAAGTCAGAGGGTTTTTGACCTAGTTGAAGGAGGGTGTGGGAAGGGAACTCATTACCCAGGCATAAAAAAGAAAACAAAAAGAAGTAATCAAAGAAGCAAACCCTGGAAACCATCTACAAATACAACTGAATCAGTGGGCTGTTAACATCACAAGTTGTAGGCTAGGCAAGACTTTACTTGTGTAAAACTTTAAGTAGCTTCAGCTGTGTCATGGCATATCTGGTATATAGTAGAGACCTTCTCCTCAGTCTTAGTGATACTGTGGAGAAATTATTCCAGCTGCTGAACTTGTGTTTAGAAGTGCTGTTGCTCGTATCCCAGATAATATGTTGCTTTTTATGTTTCCTTCATCACCTTCAAAGCTGCTAATTGAAGACACTTTTCTGTCTGCTGGTGACAGTCCCATATATATTCACACCTGAAGGCTTCAGCATTTTCCCATTGCAATGCATCCCAACCTTGTATTTACAGTTCTTTTAGACTCTCCACTGACTGTGGGAAGAAGCAGAGGTTGCAGAGTTTCCTCCACCAAGATGCTAAAGAGCCAGCATCAGACCTAGGACTGGAGAAAAGGAACTGGGCTGTTCACCTATGCACCTCCATCCATGTTTTCAGAGAGGTAAGAGTCTGCAAATTGTTTCCCAAGTTACTGCTGTGTTAAGAAACCTGAAATCAACTAGTCCATGTCTTCTTGCGGCCTTGCAATTCCCTCCAAATTTCAGCCCAAGATAAGCACACTTAACATAACTGTGCCCTTGCTGCTGCAGAGGAAGGAAAAGGTTTGTCAGTGGCAGCCGTGTCTGCAAGTACCACGCTAAATGGAGGCTGAAAGGTCCCTGTACTTTAGGGGCCAGACAGGACAATTTAGGGACTGTGAGACACAGCAAGTAGCTTTTGTGAAAGAGCAGGCAGGTGTCCTGGCTCCACTAGGGAAGGGGAAATGAGATTAAGCACAGTATCAGTGAGACTGAAGAGAAAGTCTCCACTGTATAGCAGATGTATAAAATACTATAATATCTGCTGTTAAAGTAGACACTGTAGAAAATATAGCATTTAATAGTGGTTATTTTGGAGACTTCCACTGAGTCTTGGTCTATGCTCCTGAGTGGTCTCTACCAGCCTTCACAGTTAGCTCCTGGAGCCAGTGGTCCTGCCTTCTGTCTGAAACTTGTCACAACATGTCTTTTCTCCCCACTGCCAGAGAGACTGACATTACCCAGTGGAGAGCACTGTGTTCCTGCTTTCTCCCTGAGCCAGCTTGTTGCAACCACTGCCTCTGAAAGAAAGAAAGCTTGGTGAAGGTTGGCATTGTAAATGTGGACAACTTTTGGAGATGTCATTTTCCCCAGCAGTTTCAGTGATTCAAGGGCAGGGCTTCCATCCAGAGAGACATACATAGGCTGGAGGAACAGCCAAATAGGAGCCTTACAAAATTTAGAAGGGGCAGATGCAGAGCTCCTGGGCAGGATGAATTCCTTGTGCCACTGCAGGCCAGGTCCTGGCTGCCTGGGGAGTAGCTCTGCAGAAGACCTGGGGTCCTGCTGGGCAGCAAATGGGCATGGCCTGCAGTGTGCCTTGGGGGAGGGAGGGCACCAGCATCCCAGGTTGTACAAGCAGGAGCACATCATTCAACCTTCCTGTATCACATGGGAGAGCAAAGGAGCCTAGATTCAGGACCTTTCTCAGGCAACAAGAAGTGGAAATATTTTTCCTTCTTTCTCTTGTTGCACTCTATCTCTTCTCTTGATTCTCTTACACCTTGTTTCCTCAATTGAGTTGCATAATAACCTGTGAGGGTTGAAAACACCAGAGTTTTGCTCTGCCCCATACTATTGATGCCCT